TCCTGAATCTTCGACTTGACGTTGTCAATGGTGTCGCTGGATTCCACCTCAAGGGTAATGGTCTTTCCGGTCAGAGTCTTGACGAAGATTTGCATACCACCACGCAGGCGCAGGACGAGATGCAGGGTGGACTCCTTCTGAATGTTGTAGTCGGACAGGGTGCGGCCATCCTCGAGTTGCTTTCCGGCGAAGATGAGGCGTTGTTGATCCGGAGGGATGCCCTCCTTGTCTTGGATCTTCGACTTGACGTTGTCGATGGTGTCGGAGGACTCAACCTCAAGGGTGATAGTCTTGCCGGTGACTGGAGAGAGTTAGTAAAGGTGTTGGGCCATGGACAGCGACGTGGCAACTTACGGGTCTTGACGAAGATCTGCATACCTCCGCGAAGGCGGAGGACGAGATGCAGGGTCGATTCCTTCTGGATGTTGTAGTCGGACAAGGTGCGACCATCCTCAAGCTGCTTGCCAGCGAAGATCAAGCGCTGTTGGTCCGGGGGAATGCCCTCCTTATCCTGGATCTTGCTCTTGACATTGTCGATAGTGTCGGAGCTCTCGACTTCGAGCGTGATGGTCTTGCCGGTGACTGTGAGAGTGTTAGCAGCTGAGGCGCAGAGGCATGGCAGTGGCGGTGACTACTTACGGGTCTTTACGAAGATCTGCATGTTTGCGGTGTGCGGTGTCTCGGTGTGGATGTGGTGTTGGTTGGGTAGAACAGCTTATGAGTGGGCTGCAGGAGTGTGAGAGTGGTGTGAGAAGGAGGAAGAGAGGGGAGAGGCTGGTTTATATGCAGGCAGGCTGAGGCAGTGAGTGAGTAATGATGCGGCGAGAGCCCGTGCGCCAATCAGCAGCTGCGCACGGGAACATTCCGGCTGCTTCCACGCACACCGCAGGCTACGGGCCAGTACTTGACCTCGCTGTTTGCCATCACTCGGCTTGTCTCTTCACGACGGTGCCTAATCCATTGTTATTAACTCCTCACTGTGCTCCATCACCGTCGTGGCCGCCCTTCACTCCTACACCGCGCAGGTTCCCCGCTGGCCCACCGCCCGTTATCGCCTGGAGCCTGGACCAGCATGCGCCCGACATGTGACGTAGACGCCACCAAGGCAGCTGCGCCCTTGCATCTGCGGTCCTCAACCGGCGCCTCCACGGCCGAAGACATTCCATGACACTCGCCATCCAGATCTTGATCAAACTCTGCATCCTGAGTCTTCACCTATCGCGTGGGCAGAGGCCGGCATGGGACACCAGAGTATGGATGCGCGATACGACGTTGCGATTACGGACCCGCTTACTCGCAGCACCCCGCATACCCGGCATGGGTCCGCCGAGCGATTCACCTTCCTGGCTTTCAAGTGGCGAGCATCGTCTAGCAAGCTTGAAATCGCGTAGAGAAGATTTCGACGATGCAAGACTGTCGCGCGGCCATCGCGTAGGTTCCGTGGCGCGCAACCTTCCTCTTTGTGAAGGCGCGCCTTTGGCTGGTAGACCAAATCAATGTTGAGATGCGACAACGCATAGCTGCGAGACTGTTTCGAATAACGTCGCATCATCTCGACGACAATACCGACGGTAAGTATCGAAAACGCCGCCCAGGCAAGCATCGACAATGAGAAATGTGATGTCACAATGGCGTCGCGGGGTAGGCCTCTGCCGTTAACGTGGCGCCATCATCATGGCCGGCTCACTATTGCAACACCGCAGTAACTTAGGAACCGCGAATACTTTACCCGACACCAATCTCAGTAATCGCGACATTCGAAATCACTATGACGATGCCAACGCTCACGAACCCGTCCTTGACCGCTGCGATATGCTCGCTCGAACACAAAGCCTGGGCAGCGCTATGTAGTTCCGGCGCCGAACTCGTCCCGCTTCTCTCCAGCAATCCCGTCATGATCTTCCCGAGCGACCTCATCCTGACCTCCGTATCTTCCCCGACAGTCCACGACATGCTTCAAGGCCCCGACTTCACGCCCTGGAAATCATATAAACTCAGCCACGATGAAGTCGTTATCCTGGGCAAGGATAGCGCGCTGATCTACTACCGCGTAGAGGCGACACGGGACAGCGAGACGTTCAGGGCCATCTGCTCGAGCGCATGGGTGCTGGAAGGTGCTTCAGAGGGCATGTCAGGCGATTGGAAGATGGCGCACCACCAGCAGACGCTGATCTAGGGGCCTATGTTGCTCAGATACCATGTTTTAGGCCGTGGAGTCTGGGAGTTTTTGATACCCGGGGACTTTTCACATAGACTGCAGGCAGCTGGTCGCTGTAGAAGCGAGAACTGTGGGTCTCAGAATACGAGCAAGCATACATTGCGGCAGTTGAACGCTCTGGCCTGCTACAAATACTTAATTATACTGCGGTACAATACTTCGAAGCCTACGACTCAATGCATCTCCACCTCAAATCACGAGGTTTGGGGTACTCCCGTCCTATAAACCTAAACGCGATAGCTTGAGGCATCTCCACATAGCGCGGGCGCATCGCTAGTGGCCGTCGAGTGACGTATGTGATCTTCCGAAGTTCCGTACAACATTTCAAGGGGCAGCTCATGGAAGTACTCACATCACCAGCCACGTTCCCGTTTTCGATGAGGATTGCTGTCCTCAGGCAGCTGGGTCAATCTTTGTCATCATCACCGTCTAACGGGATCACATCAGCAGCATCACCACGATTCAGCACAATGGCAGTTACCTACGCAGCCGCAGTCAGCACACCCAACGGCGGGGTTCGGCAGCCTCAAATCCAAGCCCGAGCCTGTTCAGACCCAGATCTACGCGCGTCTTTTGAAGCAACGCAAGCACAACAAAAAGAGCAGACCAAAAAACCCCAACGTCCCGGCGCAGGAATCCGTGCCAAAACGAGTTTCCGCGGCTGGTCAACTAAGAAGGAAGGCAAGACCAGTCCTAAGCAAGCTCAAAATGAGCCATATGTCGTGGAAGAAAGTCGACCATCAGGACATTATCCCCGACAAGAACATAGACCGAACACCGCTTCTCAAGACGAACAAGTCTACGTCCTCACGCTCAAACTCACAGATTCCCTAGCCAAACCCATGGACGACATGCGAAACCAGTACTTCCCTAAGCACCTCAACCGCACAGGCGCGCATCTCACGCTCTTCCACGCACTCCCACATTCGCACATGGAAGCGCTAGAGCAAGGGCTCGCACAGGTATCTGGGAGCATCCAACCCTTCGATGTCTCAACCGGCAAGCCCTTCCGGATGCGCAAAGGCGTAGGCATCAACGTCGACTCAGGCTACACGAAGATGAAAAACGTCCACGCCGACTTACAAACCCAATGGTCTGAATTCCTCAGCGAGCAAGACGCAGGTGGCTTCCGCCCTCACTGGACCGTCATGAATAAAGTCGATGAGGAGACGAAAGTGGATAGCGCGTTTGCGACGATACGCCAGGAGTTGAGCGAGAGGAACCAGGAGGGTCGCGCCGTGGGTTTGGATCTGTGGAGGTATGAACGTGGGAATTGGATTTTCGCAAAGGAGTTTGCGTTTGGTGAGGGGCTGGTGAAGACGCCGACGAAGACGGGGAGCCCGCGGAATCAAGGGCAGCGTTTGTCGCCCGAGCAGAGTCCTACGGATGGGCCCGGGAGGAGACCGGGCATGTTCAAGCGGGGGAGTAGTGTGGGGGATGCGTTAAGGTCGATGAGCTTTCGGAAGCGGAGTTGAGATCATGCGTGAAGAAGAGAATGCGCCTTTGATTCAAACTGGGGTTTGGCATGGGTTAGACGCTTTGTGAATCTGTGTATAGTACGTATTTTGGGCGTTTGGGTGGGGGTTGTGTAATATAAGGCTGGTATGAAATGCTGTCGTGGAATATTCATAACATTCTCAATTGCAGTCCTCGGAACCAGCTCTTGGATGATGCGGAGAAGACAGTCTGGTACCGGTTTGTCATGTCCGTGGTCTGCAATGGCCGACAGGGTCCCGCTGGCGAACATTGTAGAAAGTATAACAACTGCGGGATCTGGAAACATCACGCCAGCGAGAAAACCTGAGCAGACGGAGGAAGCGCTGTTCTATTTTATCCCCCGTATTCAGAACTGCGTAAGCGCATTGGACGCATGATCGTGGCAATCTCGCCACCAACACACGACGCGCGTCGCATAAACGCTGATTGAAGCAGGAGCGAACATCGTGAGTGTGGCTGTGAGGGGCCGAGTGGAGGTACCATGGATCTGCAAATCCAAAACGTCGTGCATTGATGATTGATCAGGTGCACCATGAGCGACGCGACAGATACATTGGCGTTTGTCAAAGGCTTGGTAGTGTTCTCGGTCAGCCACAGCTAGCCACATGTCGGCGGTACCAGGGGCGCGGATAGCTTTCAGGGTCCCGACGTGGGGACCGAGGCGTGATCAGAAGATTCTGAGATGACCACGCCGCCCAATTCACAGCTTCACGGGCACGTGGTGCAATTTCGCTCTGGAAAAGGGAGAACAGAGCGGTGACCAGCGTCACGTACCCAATGACCAGAAATGAGACGAGCTGATTGTTCCCTCGTGATGGAATACGAACTCAACCTATTAGCAGTCACAACACGAAGCTACGCCCCGAATTAGAAGCGGATAGGGCGAGCGATCAGGAACAGGGCCCATCTGGCCAGGCCACGATCACGATAGCGGTTAGGGAGTGGGTTGAAGAGGCGTAGCGGGACTCGGGGGTTGCGCATGTGGTGGGTGAAAGAAAGGGGAACCGGCGCCGGTGTGAGCTAGAACATTTCCAGGGAAAGCATTAGCTCCGCTAATTGTGGACGCGGGTGCTTCGACGCATATAACCTACAGCTGGCCTCATCACCAACAAGCTCCCTTGCTCTTTGCCCTGCGCTTTCACTCGACCGTGTGACTCTTTTCTTCTTCTATACCCGGCAATCACTGTCTGCTTGTGCTGTGTTGAAGACTTGACTGTTTTCTTCCATTCTCCGCTGCGACACGTTCCTAGTACCTGCGCCTTTACACAACTACAACACCGCCAATATGAAAGGTACGCCTGGCCAATTGCGACTCTGTTGTATGTAGCTAACAGCTCATGCAGCCATCATTCTCGTCGGAGGGTTCGGTACCCGTCTGAGGCCTCTCGTAAGCCCTCCTCCCCGCGCAGCGCTCGCTCGAGAGCCCCGCGATGCCAGAAGCAACGGCCATGCTAACGCCAATTGCAGACTCTCACCTACCCCAAGCCGCTCGTCGAGTTCGCGAACAAGCCCATGATCCAGCATCAGATCGAGGCCCTCGCCGCTGCCGGTGTCACAGATGTTGTCCTCGCCGTCAACTACCGCCCCGAGATCATGGCCGAGGCGCTCAAGACAGTGAGTATACCCGCCCCACGGCAAACCAGAGCACACGAATAACCGGCCGCACAGTACGAGAAGCAATACAACGTGACCATCACATTCTCCGTCGAGACCGAGCCCCTCGGCACCGCCGGCCCCCTCAAGCTCGCCGAGAACGTCCTGGGCAAGGACGACTCGCCCTTCTTCGTCCTCAACGCCGACGTCACCTGCGACTACCCCTTCAAGCAGCTCGCGGAGTTTCACAAGCAACACGGCGACGAAGGCACCATCGTCGTCACCAAGGTCGAAGAGCCCTCCAAATACGGTGTCGTAGTCCACAAGCCCGGCCACGCCTCCAAGATCGACCGATTCGTCGAGAAGCCCGTCGAGTTCGTTGGCAACCGCATCAACGCCGGTATCTACATCATGAACACCAGCGTGCTCAAGCGCATCGAGCTGCGCCCTACATCCATCGAGCAAGAGACTTTCCCTGCGATTGTCAAGGACGGCCTGCTCCACTCCTTCGACCTCGAGGGCTTCTGGATGGACGTCGGTCAGCCCAAGGACTTCCTCTCGGGAACATGCCTCTACCTCTCTTCGCTCGCGCGCAAGAACTCCAAGCTGCTGACCCCCGCTTCGGAACCCTACGTCTACGGCGGCAACGTGCTCATCGACGAGTCTGCCAAGATAGGAAAGAACTGCCGCATCGGTCCCAACGTGACCATCGGCCCCAATGTTGTCATCGGCGACGGTGTGCGCCTCCAGCGCTGTGTGCTGCTCAAGAACAGCCGCGTCAAGGACCACGCTTGGGTCAAGTCGTCGATTGTCGGCTGGAACAGCACCGTGGGCAAGTGGGCGCGTCTCGAGAACGTGACTGTGCTTGGTGATGATGTTACGATTGGTGATGAGGTTTACGTTAATGGTGGTTCGGTTCTGCCGCACAAGTCTATCAAGCAGAACGTTGACAGTAAGTTTCCCTTCACATCGCGACGTGGATTTCAGTGACTAACACATTCCAGCTCCTTCGATTATCATGTAAACGCACCCACGAGATACCCGGTCGAACGACACGTCGACGCAAATCTTCTACACAACTTTTTTTTAATAACGTGTATCTTTCTTGTATATTTCTGCATACACTCCGGCTGGCATATAGAACTGCGTGGTAGTAGTTGTGCATTTTCTACGGAGGCGTCTCTACAAGCACTCTACATCTCCCCTCCTCAGCATGGGGAGTGCGTTCACGATACGGAAAAGCGTCTGGTTTGGTACGGATGGATGGATGCTTTGGGTTGGGTTGGCTTTAGCGATGGGATACAAGCAAGGTTGTGCTTCGGCATGCTGCCCTTTTCAAGATGAGACAGGGAAGAATGGGGATGAGGATGGAGATGGAAACGGAGATCATGTGTGCACGTACTGTACTGCAGGTATGAATACCAAAATCTGAAAACAAAGCTTTCCATTTGAGGTTTGCGTACAATTACACACTCATTATCGTTACGATCACCTACCTTCCCTCACTTATCAGACTTATGCTTCCCACAATTATAATCATCTCCCTCCTTCACATTCTTCTCATTCTTACACGGCTCGCCCTTCGTCGTTCTTCCACTACACTTCACTTTCTCTATACCCTCACCCTTCTTTGTCTTCCCGCCTTTCGGGGTATTCTTTGTCGGTTTTTTGGGAGGGGCTTTGCCCGGTTTCGGCTTTGTGCCTTCTTTTTTCCCGTTGTTGTTGTTCTTCTTCTTCCTCGGCTTCTTCCCCGTTTCAACTACTGCTGGTTCAGATGGAGCATCAGACAAATCGTCGTCATCCTCATCCCCCTTCTCCGGTAACGCAAACCGTGTCTTCTTCCGCGGCGGCGCCTTGCGCTTAGTCTTCGCTTCCTCCGCCCGTTTTCGTTTCTTTGCTGCGGCTACCGCGCGGGCTACCCCAGCATCCGGCGCGTCATCCTCCATGCCCGTCTCTGCATGTCGGTGTCCTGCTCTCGGAGCAATGCCCGCTGGCATACCTTTCACCTTCTGCTTGTTCGCAGGTGGACCTGGAGAAGGAGGAGGTGGAGTGGGACTCTTTGGGCCGAGCGGCGAGGACGCTGTTGAAGAGGGTGCTGGTGTTTTGAATGAGTATACAGAGCCTGCCCACGATGGCGTTTTTTCTATGCGTTCTATGGTAGTCTGCTGTACGATGGTGGTGGGTTGGGTTTCGACACCAGGATTCTGGGGCTCTTCGACGCTGGGCTCCTCTCCCTTTCCATCGGGCTTGTGTGGGTCTTCGTCACTATCCCAATTTATCTCAATGTCATCTTGGTCAAGTTCGGCTTTGTCGGTGTCGGGTTCTGTGGGTGAGCCCGGCGGTGGCCAGGTGTATCCCACGACTCCTGGCGCTGCCTCTGCTTCTTGGGTTGGCTCTATTTCTTGTTTTGGCCGTACTTCTTGGATTGCGTACACCTTGTGGGTTGGCTCTACTTCTTGGGTTGCGGTTACTATTTGGGTTGCGTCTGCTCCTTCGTTGACCTTTGGTTTGTAGTCTTCTGGTTCTGACTCTGAGCTACTGGAGGAGGAGCCGGAGGAGGAATACGTTGGTAGGCCTGGTAAGGATGGTGCTTGACCCTTTTTTGGTGACATGGTTCCTGCTGTGGAGTTCCAGCAGGTGCTTTTTACGTGGGTGGTGCTAGTGTTGATACTTGTAGTGAAGAAGATGTTATACTCATGGGGTTGTTCAGCTTCGTTAGTAAGGATACAGCGATAGAGACGAGTTCAAGTATGATATCGAGAGCTGTATGAGATGACTACGGTAGGTCTTACGGTACATAGGTAGCTTTTGTTAAACAATGGAGATGCCGTCGCTTTCTTTTGATCAAAGGAGCGAATCTAAGATGATTATACATTGTGTCCCAGTGTTGATGATGCATGACAGCATGAAGTATTCTTTGTGTAAATGTCTTTGTCTCTGCGCTGGCTCAGCGGCTCCATCATGTGTCTCACTCTTTTGATACTTGTTGTCAGTAGTAGTGGGTGACTTTGCTCAAAGATCGTCTGAGATCAAGATCTGAGACTGTCGTTTTGACTGTAAGTTAGGGCCTGGCTTGAGCCGAGATTTCAGGCCAGGCGATAGAGGAGCTGGGGCTCGTACTGCTCGGTTTGCACGTAAACCAACGGAGTTGTCTTAGACAAAGATGTTGGACCAGACAAAGAAGGGCCGAGTAATGAGACTGCAGCTAGGTCTGATGCCATCAATCCCAGTTATCACGTTCTTTGCTTTGTCAATATGTTTGTCTGGCCGATCAAGACTCTTCTTTTTTCTACTTGGCTGATGTTGTCGTAGAGACTTCTGTGGTTGCGTAGGCGTATGCGCTATCTTTCGTCATTCCCGGCATCACAACAGAAAACAAAGTTTGCCATGTGTTACTCTTTCGATTCCATGTATTCCACTACAGCGCTCAACACCCCACATCCCAGCCCCTCTATGCCATATCCGAGTAGATGACGAGCGGCGGCGAGTTGACCTTCGGCTTAAAGTGCGCCTTGATCTTAGCATGTGCCTCATCCTGGTTGTCGTAGTAGTCCATATCCTCCTTAGACTCGAATATGCAACGCGCCAGCATCGTGTAGCCCTGGCTGCGCGAGTCGTCATAGGTGGCATTGGCTTGTGCAAGCTGGATGTACGTCTTGCCGTCCTGCACAAAAACACAATGACGTTAGCATGCATCCTCTCGATAAGCAGCAACAAACAACAAACGGCGGACGACGATAGCCTCGGAAGTCAGTCGGTGCGGAGGCTGTCGGTATATCTCTAGCGTCAGTCTGTCCATCGTGAGGCTTCAATGGGTCCAAGGCGGCCGATATGTGCGTCGTGACTCGGAGTTGTTTCCGCGCCCTCGTTGGTGTCGCCCGCTTGCTGCAGCCTCGTCACCCCCACCCCATTTCTCCTAGCCGCGGCAATATTTCCAGCGATTACCCGCCAGGGACATTGCTCCGCGCGCGCGAAGAGGAGGGTTGACGCCATTATCCGCTCTTTTCTTATCGAGGGAGCAAGATGGAAATAGCCCGAGGGCGACTAGAATAAATCTGGGGTCCCGACGTGACGAGATGGTCCGTCGTGCAGGGGGCGGGCGGTATGGACTGCACGTTCGATGGATATGTGCTGGCCGTAACTCGGCTGAGAAAGCGGGTATGTATGGAGATCTGGAACGGGAATGGGAGGACTTGGAGGGAATGTTGGCGAGTCAAGAGAGGGCTTCGACGTACCTTTTTCGCGTCTTGGGCGAGAGTGTTGTACATCTGGATGGCTTCTTTGACCATGTCCTGGTCGGGGATCTTGAACATGGTGAGGCGGACGATCTTAGGCATCTTGACGGTTGTCGGTTGTGGTGATTGGAGAGAAGCTGTAGTGGTGGTTTGTATGATTCAGCTCGTTGTATGAATGTGTGTATATTATGTATGAGGCTGTCAAGTTGGTATATCTAGGTACTCTGTCGGACTCCGGAGTAGGCGGAGAGCCATTCGAAACGTCAACGTCAACGTCGGTTCCCCTACGCTTTGCACAGCGTATCGTTCAAGACGTAGTACATACTCCATCTACGGTCTAATTACATTTGCTTTTTGCGGACGCCGTAGTCTGGCCGTTGACCCCGCGTACGGCGCCTGTACGACGGGTGGTCTGTTTGTGAGCTGACAGCAATTACGTAGCCTGTCTGCTACGAGATGGCGAGGCGTACATTCTCGATGCGCAAGCCGTGCCTGTCTCGATAGTCTGAAACGTGTCACTAGAGAGGGAATATCGGTTTGAATCGTGGGGTAACTGATGCTACTGACAGTAGACGACAGACACCGCTATCCGATGCCGGTGAAGGATGGCAGTCATATGCTGTTAGACGTCACACATGGAGCGTGGAAAGAGCTGGCCAGAGCCTTTACCGTATCCTCGACTTGTGTAAGGGTGAATGGACCCTGAGGGGCTGCAATCTGCAATGTCGAGTTTCGGAGGGTCGGGACGGTGCGTTGTGTCCCTCATCGAGCATCGGTAATGGACGCGAAACCCGGCCCCTCTAGATTACCCTGCACCACACCTGGCTGCAGCACCACCTCTCACCGCGCGAGGCTGAACAGGAGGGTGAGGGTGCTCTTGGTTGGAAAAGCGCTCGAACATGTGGGTCTTCAGTAGCCTATTGATGGAATCAGGCCGATTCGAAGACGACATGTCCACGACAGGACGCCTCCAGGGCCGACAACTCTGCGGTCCAGATGGCCGCCCTCTCTCGCGGTCGAGTAGGTCAAAGAACAGTCTTCTTTGCTAATGCGTAGTGTCAAGAATTGATGCGCAGGAAGAGGGGCGCATGGTTGACAGCGCTGGCTTCTTCACCGCCTGTTTTGCAGCTTGGGGCGGGTGGCCGTGCTGGCGCGCTCGCGTCATCCACAGATCTCCCGACGCGTGCGACATAGTTCTGAAGCTCGTTCACTCATCTCCGCGCTGATTCTGCTGGCCTTGGACGCGCTCGTCTGGACTTCAAACGCTATTCTTTGTCCAATATATCAGTGGCTGTTCCTTGCGCTTCGTTGCCGCTATTCACAAGCGCCATCGTCCCGCTCCATGTATCAACCACCATCTTGGATCGGCGCCAGACAGAAGCGGTCCTTACTGGGACCTGGGACCTAGCCATGCACCGCTGCCTGTCGTGAACCGCGCCGGCCTATCGAATCGTCCGAATTTTGCTTCCGCTCCACGACGACTTGCTCTGTGCACCCTCAACCTTTGTACTGCTGCTATCCACTTCGCGGCAGGTCAATTGTCGAGTACGCTCTGCAGCCGCCCGACGCATGATCCCTTTGTGTCGATTCGAAAATTTCCTCCCAAAGCTCCAGACCCGTTCGTGCTGAGCTTGGCATCCTGCTATCTTCAATGTCTTGACTTCGGCAAAGTGGGGACTGCTTGATGCCCTACCATCAGCCTTGAACATGGGGATCCCAGGGTCTGTGAACTCTTCATCTCTGTCTCTCTCGATTGACCGGGATCGCGTGCACGAGAACGCCTGGCCCCTCCAGCTGTCCTCTCCTCGTCAATCATCGCCTGTCAAACCGTACTCCACTACGTCTCGCGAACGTGCTTGAGCGCCATCAGACAGTCTCCGCAATGCCAATTTATGCCTGCATGCACACGGCTTACAGCTAACAGCCGTTGACCCTTTCCCTATTCGAGCTGCAGGCGCGTTTCCCAGTAGCGATATTCGGAGGACCGTGCTTTCTGCATGTATGCGTTGGCAGTGACGCTTGATGCTTTCTGGTAACACCAACCCCAGGTATCTCCTTGAACCCTCGAACGCATCAATCAACTCGTCTCGCTCGCCCCTGGGGCTGTCGGGTAGCTTCATGCTATGCCTGTTGTGACGCGTTCTCGCTTCGAGCCACTATGCTTTGCATTGTCTTGCAGTCACACAATCGTGTCCAACTCCTCTCCAGTCGCGACTCTGGCGGTTGGTACCCTAGCCGATTAGCAGTCCCATTTTTTTGCTGCACGTTTGGTCTGGTCTCTGATTCCTTTCAGACCCTGCCTCCCAAACCATACGCCGATATCACGCATTCTGTTGCCAAGACTTCAGGGTATCGGTACACTTGACAAAGGGTGCAGAGTCTGACGTATTTGCGTTCTCCCCTCACTTTGCATATTGCATTAGTGGGCCCAGTGCTTCCGGGAGATACGAGCAAAGAGTGCTGTTAGGATGCACGTCTGCCACCTCGTTGTTTATGCGCCCATCCTAGGCGTCTAAACCTGCACAATGCCGATCGAGACATGTCCAGCCTTGGGAAAACGGGTTACAACAATTGTGTCCGATCGCCAGCCGTTTTTTCACTGCGCTACTGCGTGCAGCACGGTGGCAAGAGCGAACCGGTCAGGCTGTACCTTTTGAGGTTTGAGTCTCTTACTAGCTAAAATTCTGGAACCTCTACCGTTGGCTACCTTCTCGCCAGCACATACTATGGGTCTCCCTCATTCAGAGCCGCAACAAGACCCGCAGATTATCCATTTCCACAAGCCCAATTGCCCCTCCGTTTTTACTGGTGGGCGAGACGCGCTTGAATACATGCTACACTCGCCTGCTGCAATATATTCCTCCATCCCACAGTAGGCACATATGCTTCCCCCATCCCCGTCCGACTGACTGCAAGCCGCTCCCTCTACCTTGCTCTTCATACATCAACGCTTTTCATCTCTTTTGTACAGCTGTCAATGCTTTATTGGCAACTGTCACCCACACCCTAAAAGCATTTACTGTCGTACAACCACTGCCACGGATACCTTCTCGGCCTACTATCGTCGCCACCAACGAACGCTTGCCAATTCAGCAATACTCCGCAGCAGTAGTCTTGCCCTCAGACTGACAGCTCACCATCGAAGCGCCATCAGTCGTTCCAATCGCTCCATTACACGTCAATAGTCCTTTTCGACCACCTCCAACATGTTCTACGTTATGTACCTGACAGGTTAGTGCTAGAACTGTTCCTTTTCTTTTTAGACAGTTGGTACCACATGGCCGGATCTAGTTGGGCCAAATGAGGTCTTGACGACATGGCAATTGGTGCAAGACTCATGAGTGATAGCCCTGTCTAGTGTAGGGGATCCACACAAC